CTTTCGGCGGCGCGGGTCGTTGAATGGCACCAAACTCCCTTCCCCCGGTGGGATGGCCCCGGTGTCGAGACCAAGGACTGCTGTCCTGACCGAGCGATCGGAGTCTTCGAAACACGAATTCACGAGGCGGGGTCGGATGGATGTGCGCGCAGGCGGGCGTGTGGTTCAACGGACGCAGGATGCTCCCGAGCATATCCTTGGTTTCGGTCAACGCCGAGGAGGGGAGAGTAAAAGTCTGAGGGCTGTCAGCAGCGGTGTCAAGCCCAGTCGTATACCGCGAAGGGCGTCCTTGGGGAGGGTACAGCTGCAGGCGGCTGTGCCGGATGGGTTCAAGAGGAATGCGAGGGATGAGAATTTGCAAAGGTTGGGGACGGTGTAAGTCTGGGGAGCCGGATTTGCATTCGATGTCGTCTGAAAATTGACGGAGCAACGCGGGTTTGCCGGGAGGGGTGGGACGGGTTGAAGTCGACTGACGGTTCAAAGGCGAAAATGTCACGAAAGTTATGCCTGTTATGGGTCTCATGTTAGGATATGAATCACGAATGGATTGATGGGATGGTATGCACTTGCAATATAGTATGGGTCATAATCTTGTATCTCGAACGGGAGTTCTCCCGAGCTTATTCATGCTGTTCAACTGCCGCGGGGACGGACTCTTCGCTTTAGGACGCCGATCTGCTCACGACCATGTTAGTTTCCACAGAATCAAGGTACCCTACTTGCCAGCAGCAGTCCTACCTTGTCCCGCACTCTCTGCCGGCTTCCCAGCAGAAGTCTCAACCGGCCCCGACGCAGCAGTCGCCGCAGCAGTCGCAGCATCCCCATCAACCCCCTCCCCCTTCAAGTTCTCACGCCTCGCAGCCTGATCCGCCGCCGCAAACTCATTGCTCTCAGCAATAGCCGCAGCAGTCAGAACCGCCGTCTGGCGCTGACACTCGTCGCACAGCCCGCGCGTCCGCTTGTACCGCTTGGCGCGATGCTGCTCGATATTGGAAATATTAGACCCCCACGCCGGCCGTCGGACGCTCTGCAGACACGGGATAGGCTGGAGAACGGCATCGCCGATTTGGTCGCCGCAGTGCTCGCAGACGGTGCGGGTGATGGTGTGGCACATTTTGCTCAGCTGCTTGTTACCTATTGAAATGCGTCAGTGAGGATGTCGGGGAAGGGAGATGACGACAGAGTATGGGAAATGGTAAGGTTAGATAACATATCGGATGCTTCTTAAATCTTCTTCTTGGCCGTCTCATGTCGTGGCAGAAATCCTTTGTTTCATGTTTCACCGAGTGTGCGGGTTCATGCATTGTTGTGGGACGGGACAAGGAGGCTGTTCCGGGTGGGGCGGTGCGACGTGAGGAACATCAACAAAGAATCAGGTCAGGCGTCTGCAAAGTTGACACAGGACTCTGGAAGATTCTTCAGAGTCCGATAAGATGGGAATGGCTTCAAATGAGATGGAAGATGGGTCGGACACTGGGCTCTGATGGAGGGCGGTGTAGACAGGTCTAACATGCCTTGTTGGGACATGAGTCGGGACATGACTCGGACACAGCCAGGCCAAAACACCAAGCAAAACATCACAACCACATCATAAAGTCATCGAGGTAGATGGGAATTGCTTGATATCTAAACGGACCGCGAAACCTAAGGTAATGCAAACCGCCCGACCATGCCTTATCCATGAAGCCGAAGACATCCTCTCGAGCCAAACCTGCGCACTAAACAATTCCCATATCGTCGTATCATCATCTCAAGTCATGACCATGAACCCAGATTCCATCCATCCAGCAATCATCTCCATCCCACCTCCCCAGACCAGCAATGTCCCAAAGCAACTACCTCTAAAGTAATTCCCCCGACGCCACCGTGTCCAAGTTACCGAAGCAAGGCGAGAATCCATCACACCGTTGATGCAAATCCAGCGAAACCGAAAAAACTCCATGCCATAACCCCATGTCGCGTCTTATCATGTCGTCATAACTTCATGAGATGATGAGACTCAAATCTCCTGACCAGTATAGTGCGTACCATTGGCAACCACCTCCTCATAGTCCGAGTCATCAGGATGCAAGACGCGGACGCCCTCCTCAGAGGCATCATCATCCTCATTGGCGGGACCAGCGGGCTCGACATTCTCGTCATTGTCGTCCACGAACTCGTCCTTGATGATGGGGACCGTGACGTTCTCGTTGTTGGTCTTGGGAACGGTAGCGGCGGCGCGGACGGCGCGAATGGCGTCCTCGGCTCTGCCGGCCTCGAGCTCGGCGGCGAACGCGTCAGGACGGGCGAGCTTGACGTTGGTTAGTCTCTTGCGCGGGGCCTTGGTGGGGGTCTCGAGAATGAGGTTCTCGTCGTTGTCAGCGGCCTCGGTCTTGATAGCAACAGCGGCAGCCTTCTTGGCCTTGGCGGTGGAACGCGGGCGCTTGGCGGCCTTCTTGACGGTGGAAGAGCCCTCGCCGTTGTCGGTGGCAGCATCATCGCCGTCACTGGCGGCCTTGCGCTTGGCCGGGGTGGTGGGCGGGACAATGGGGGGGAGAGGGTTGCCGTCGGGGCCGATGGGGGTAGGGGCCGACTGCTGCGCCTCGGAGATCTTCTTGCGAATGCCAGCCCACGAGTTGCTGGCGCTGCGATGGTTGGACATGCCGCAGCGGGCAGCGAGGTGGTAAAAGTCCACCTGCACCGCGTCAGTTTTCGTGCAAACTTGGGAAGGAAGGGAGGGGCAGGGATACTTACGGTGGGAAACTCCTTGAAGCACATGAAGGCGTTCAGGAGGACCTCTTGCTCGCGGGCAGTGAAGATGGTCGGCTGCTTGGGCACGGCCTCGGCGGCTGGCTCAGCCGCAGCAGCAATGGGAGTCTTCTTGGGAGGCATATTTGCTCGTTGATGGTGCTTGTTGCTGAGCAGAGAGAGTGTCAGTTTTGGCAAGATGCCGAAGGTGGAAGGCAAAGTTGCGGTTTGTGTGGGAGAAGAGGAGAGAAGTTGGAGGTGGAAGAGTGAGTGTGGGAAGTGTGTGAAGGAAGAGGTAGATGTAGGATATTGTGGAAGGTGCTCATGGAAATTATGGCGAAAAAAATCCGCAGAGCGTGGGTCATCAGGGCAGGCTGTACACCTTGAGTGGCGAGGGGTCGAGGACGAGGGGTTGAGGCACGAGGAGAGATGCCAGTGACGTGATGATGCAGGAGGCAAGAGGCAGGAAAAGAGGCAAGAAAAGAAGTGATTTCCAACATCACAGCTGGGAGAAGGGATACGAACCAGTTTGTCTCAAAAGGGAGATTTGTGTTGGATATGGAGGAGGTTGAGGCGCTGCGTGAAGAGACGAAGATGCAAGAGCAGGTTTGCGAATGGTTTTGAGTGCCGCCAGGTGATTCGCTGTGTTTTTCGAGCTAGCGTTTCGTGCAAAGACCAGCGATGACATCGCAAGCCCTAGCCGGACGACAGGAACTCAAATCCGACGATGTCATCGCAGATCGACAAGGGCAGGGACGAGAGCAACTACCTAGGTACCAAAGGATGAAAAATATAAGCATGGCACAAAATTCAGAACCAGCGAGGCCAACATTTCGAGGAAGGAGCAAAATTGTGCAGCATCAAGAACCCAACAAGGCATGGTTTGATATCAAGCAAGGCACGGAAATGATCAGCATTCTGGACTCAACAAGGCATAACTTGACGTGCAGGAAAATACAAAGATAGTTGGCTTCTGAGCTTTAACCGGACAGGGTCCGACCATGAGGAGGGCACAAAACTAAACAGCACTCAGGCCTCAACAAGGCTTAATTTCAACATGGAGGGAACTGGGGAAATGAACGGCATTTAACACTTGGTGAAATCGGACTTCACGACAATACCTTATTGGGATGCTGTCTCTTTCTGTGTCTTCCACGTCAGGATGAAGTGGCACCTCGCTGCCTAAGGCTCACCTGCTGTCCAGATCTCTTCCTCCTTGGAGGCCACTGACTAACCTGGGAGAACGTGAACCCAAACATTTTGCGAAAGTGCAACGGGAAGCCAGATGCCTGATTCTGTGCAGGGGACTGTGGCCCACAAGTGACTCTATATGGCACATGAAAAGCAGGAGCACACGAACAGACCCAAAGGTTGCATTCAAGTCCTTGGTGTGATTTGTCGTAGAGGTATACCACAGTGGATATTGCTATGGGTGGGTGGGATGACTATGTAAGGGTCTGGGCTTTGGAGAAGGTGGGACGTGTCGAAGGGGAGCCCAGAAAGGACTGGACTTGGGCTTTCTGGGATATGATAAGCGGGAATGGCAAGACCAAGTCAAATTTGACGTGATTGCACCTAACTCTAGGCTGTATAACAGGCACTGCGGCTGCCCCAGTAATGACACAAAGGGATGAAAGATCAGTGTGAGAGAACTCGTACAAAGAACCTTGGATGAGATGATGTTTTCTAGTAAGTGTTGATGCACTGAAGGCTTCAACCTGGAATGAAAAGGAAGCATCTTTGTCATGGTGTGGTGGCGTACAAGCACCGCACCGGATGCAAAAACGGTTCACTCGTCACCGTTTACCTTGCCAGTGGATGGCCTGCTTTTGATCAATCTAGGGCTCTTGGAATTGAAACAATGCTTCCAGCCTCTCAATCCCGTTGGAAAGCAGCAGTTGCAAATGCCCTTCATCAGACGTCTCTCTTTCTCCTCTGCAAAGGATCAGATTGGCTGATAGAATTCAGGCAGCCATTGCGGCATCAACTGGGGCAAGACGAAGTGAAGGACTAGAAGACGTGCATCAAACCTGCGGCTGGGGATTCAAGTCAAGCAGGAGTCCAACATAAAAATTGTCACACCTCTCTGGCAAAACTTCAGGCCGGAGGCGCCCAAACCGCAACAGAGTCTTTGTCAATTCTTTGTCCGTCCTTGTCAGCTCAACACGGTGTATGGTACAAGGTGCGTCCGGACAGCATCGTTCTGCCTCAGCAAAAAGGGGGCATCGGCCTTAGTCCCTGTGTATGGGGTGGGGCAGAGGCAAAAATATCAACGTCACCTGTAGGATTCGAACCTACGCTCCCGAGGGAACTGCCTATGCTAAAGCTTAGCAGGGCAGCGCGTTAACCACTCCGCCAAAGTGACTAATTCATGTTATAGATGCCAGGAGTTTGCTCTCATGAGGCTGCATCTCACCGCCGAACCAAACCCCACAACACGACTGAGTTTCAACCTCAGTGAAAAGGGCATAGGTCCCAACCAGACATTTGCAAATACAGATTGCTCTGAGTGCACAACCCTTCAGGATGGTCTGAACAATGTGATTGTCGCGCAAGAATGTGAGTTCGAAGTGGGTGCACACTGGACAATAACTTTGTCTGCGCCCGAGGTCATCAAAGGACTCAACCCCACAATGCAACTGTGAGAAACCCGTTATGCTCTGTTATTATCCGCATCACAACGAAGGATATGTCCTCAAGCACTTATTCCAATAAAAAGAGATGCATTCCCCAAGCTACTGTTGACTTGACTCTCTTCATCGCACCCGCTGCATCAAGTAGCCCGCCCATCTAACTCTCCACCATCACAACCCACAAACCTAAGGTACATTGCCTTCTCAATACTGTCAGGTACAGAACATTGACAAAAACCATGGCGAGTGAGATGGAAAACGGCATTTTGTCAGCCTGGGCATTCTGGCGGCTCCAGAAATACTGCACCAGCCCGCCGGGAACACGCGATCGTGATTCCTGCGCCCCTGCTGCAGTAATCTTGACAACCTGGCTGGTGTGTCTCGTGGTCCTATTGGTCGTTGGGTTCTTGTATTTGCGTCGCCGGATCTTGAAAAAGGTTTGCCAGCCCGATGCGGAGACCAACGGGGTTCCCATGGGGCCTTTACCTCCTCCTTCTTCACTCCCGACTCACAACACAACCTCGGGTCCTGACACGGTCCGGTCGGAAGTTATCTGGGAGGCCCCGATTCCTGTCCCAACCCCATCCCCATCGCCGCCCCCGGAACGGATTCCCGCAAAATCCGTCCACGGCGCATCCATGACACTTGGAAATATCGCCATGCGAGCCTCTCCCTCAGGCGCAACCATGGCCTCTCCCACTGGTAGCATCATGCGAGCCTCCCCCTCGGGCGCAAAAATGATTTCTCCCACTGGCGGCACCATGCGAGCCTCTCCTTCGGGCACGGGTGTAACCATGACCTGGACCCTCCCCACTGGCACCTTGGGAACACTCGCTATGCGAACCTCCCACCTAGATGTTGGTCGCTAGGTAGTGCCTAGGTCTAACATCACTAACACCTAGTGACCTAGTAGCCTGAGGTGATATCTCAGACTTCCCCAGGGATAACTTGAACTGTCGAAGTCTTTAATTGATCTATAAACTTGAAACTCTCTGACTGTCTATTACCCATTTGTGACTCTTTGCTGTTGTGATCCCGGCTGTGTTCTATTCCCCTTCCTGTAAAGCCGTTGCCCTTCGGGTCAGGGCTTAAAGTCCGAGTCATCTAAAATCTGCCTTCTATGCCAGAAGATAATGAGGTGCACCAGCAACCTTACCAATAATTAAACAAATTCCTTCTAACTTAGACTGTTCCACGTACGGCGATGTGTTAGATTCTTTTTTTCCCTCTTTTTCCGTGACAGTGACTGCATGTTTTGAGCCAGGCTACGCATTTGCTCGCGCTTCCTTGCCTTCCACGGCCCATGATGGATTTCTATGCAATAGGGACGAGAAGCCAAGAATGAATTTCCCCGTCTTCATGCTGTCTGGTCGATCCGGGTCCCGATGAGAATGTATCAATTGTTCACAACACAATGCGCTGTCCACCAGATTCAACAGGGGTACTTCCAATCACTCCTGCCCCTGTGCCGAACAATGGAAACGTCCTGTTCACCTGGCTGACATGTATAAATACGCACCATCCTCGCCCCCTGCTCAAGCTTCTCCTCCTCTCTCATCACTCTCCCGCACCACAACACCGCCAACATGAACTCCACTTCGATCCACACGCATGCCACTGCGGCATTCCTGTCAGTCGCCATTGGAGTCCCCGTCATCATCTTGGGCTGGGCTGTCCTGCTTTGCTTTAGCCCCCGGCGCAGCAAGCAGCCGTCGTTTCATCTCGAGGCCCAGGTTGAGGTAGCCAATGACTTCGTCCGACGCCAGGCCAAAAAGCTCAACGTCAAGAAGGCTATGGCAAAGCAGGCTGCTGTGGTACATTTAGCTTCCTTCAATGGTGTCAAGGTTGATGCCAGCACCTCAGTCTCGTCTGCTCCTGGAGCAAAGCTCCGAACCCAGCCTCGGGTTCTTGGGGCGGGCTGGGGGTATAGCTCTGCGGTGTAAGGCAGAGCTCGGATAACATTGTCCGAGTCGGAGTGAGTTAGTGGCCGCGAATTGTCGCCACTTGGAGATCACGAGAGGTGAGTTGAACAGGAGACTCGAGAAACCTGAATAGAAAAATGTCTTACAAAACAAATTAGTTCCCGTTCTTGAACTTTTACGTGATATGTCTGCAGTGGTAATATCCGACGTCGTGCTCCTTCTTGGCTTTATCTTCCTAAGCCGCCAAGTGCGAGCCGTCGTAAGAACTCGAACCCGAGATGTGTTGTAAAGGCCTGCAACGCTTATGAGAATTCGGAGGAATAAAGACAGCAGCTGAGATGAAAGCTATTGTCTATGAATGCAATTTTGCGGACTCTTTGACAAACCGGGCGTGTTTCCTACCTTCAGGGACCAAGTCTTTGTGCAATATGGAAAGTCGGAGAAAAACTCAAAGACATTGTTCGGCAATCACCACCATAACTCAGCTTAAATACATGAAAACACGCACTTCCCACGATCTTTTCGAAGCCTTAACAGATCATCTCCCGCATCGCCTTCTAAAGCAGTACTCAAGTTCGAAAATGCCCCCCCCTGAACGTGCCCCACATCCACCTCAACCCCTTGGAGGTCACTCCCATCATTCGCATCCTCCCCCGTGCGGAAGACGGGAGCCTGGAAGTTGGCAAAGTCATAGAATACTGCAACGCTGGCGACAGCGCGAATTGTGCCAAAGCAATCGGCCTGATCTTTGGCCTCATCTCGGCCGGAATCGTGGTCATAGCGGTTCCTTGGCTGTGCGTCTCTGGCAGATGCCGCCGAATGTGTCTCTCATGAGAAAATCGTGCGCGAGCCAGGGCCGGGGTTCCAGATGAACCTCGGGTTTATCGGTATGCGGAGACGGTTGATAGCCCAGAGCCTTTGCCCTCGACTTTGAGTTCGGTCGCCTCCACGGAGTCTTCTACTCTTGTCCCCTCTAGCCCTCCCATGGAGTTTCTTCCCCCGGTTGCGAAGCTACCGCCACTAACAGTGCCGGAGGTGGCATACTCGAGGCCTTCGACGGCTGTTGATGACGAGGCCAAGTAAGTCTTGGCAGACGATGATGGTTTGGGACTGAGCCGTGATCTCCTTTGAACAATGACAATAAATTCTAACTGTATTATTATCTTACATTCCATGATAACGCCTTCTTTGTGATATTCTAACAAACAAACACCTCCCAATCAGTCCGTATCTGTAGATCCGCTGTGAATTCAACAGTTCCGGAGCTAAGTGATTTGCCGTACCAAGAGTCGAAAACTCACCCTTTTTCGTACCATTACCACACACCCGACACTCTCCATTGGGTATAGCATCTGGGAGTAAAACTCCAGCGCTGACTCTTCGTGATGCCTCTTTGTTCCGTAACAGTGCTATTGTCTAGTGAAATCCACAGTCCCCCTCGCGTCAGCCCCTTTGTTCTCTATCATATACCTGACCCAAAGAGTGCGTTAACTTGAGAAGAGCTTCGCAGCCCAAAACACAGCAACACTGATGCCGAATGAGATGAACTGTTCATCTTCAGCACATGATGATTTCCAACCTCGCAAAATAGATAAAAAGGAAACGAGCAACCGACTTCTCACAGCTTCTTCTTCTCATCATCCGCTCTCCAGTCAAGCAGATTTCACAACACCTTGTCTTCCGCTTGGCAAAACAAAACAACTCTCAACAGAGCGGTCCACCCCCATTCGACTTCTGGTAAGTCTCTCGACCCACCCCCTACTAACCCACAAACCAACAACCCACCATGGGCTTCGATCTCGAAAACTACCACCAGTATTGCGATGCTGGTGGCGAAACCCACAACTGCGTCCTCTGGGGCTTCTCCATCTTCTTCATGGCCTTGGCCCTCGTCCTGCTCATCCTGTTCATCCTCTGGATGACAGGCTTGGCCTTCTCCGTCACCCCCAAATCCATTTTGGCGGACAGGCGACAGGCCAGGGAGGACCACCACATTGAGCTGCAGATCCGAGAGGATGCGATGCGGCGAATGGAGGAGGGGATTGTACCTGGGGTGCGCCCGCCGCCGAGGGTCGAGACCTTTGGCGCTGCGGGTGGGCGCACCAGGGGCAATCCGGTTTACCATCGCTAGGGGGCCCTATTGAAGGGGTAGTTCTAGCGAAGGGAGCCTGATTTGATGGGGAGGTAGCTGGATAGAGCTAGCTCATGTTGAGCTTTGGTGAGGAGGTGACTTGCGGGCAAGTTGCATCCTGAGCGGCTGAGAAAGTAGAAAAAGAGGAGAGTAGAAAACTGAGAATAAAATAAAAACTTGATAATACCAACAAACTTGTAACACTTTAAATGTGCTATGTAACTGTGATTTACAATTGCCAACCAACAAGCAACCCCTCGTTTGCTGCTGAACAAACAGCCTGAGTGAGGATCTTGGTTCGATATTTTCTTTGTCGGTGGCTGTATCGATGAACTTGACGACGCCACGAACATGCGTTGTGACTGTCCCGCGTGAACAAAGAAAGAGAACGCTTGAAGTGTTCCCTCCAGGCAACACTGCGAGTAATTAATTCGGAACCAACCAAACATGAAACTGCTGCGGCGCAATCCAAGCAACAACCGCTGCGCAGCCAGTAGTGGGGTTACACAGTGGGCTGATTCGCTCCTTCCCCGACCGCGCCCATCATCCAACAAAAACGTCCAATAATTATGTGTATCCCGTCCTCGTCTCCCAAATCTCAAACACCATTCTTTTTCCATCTTGTCCATCCTCGTTCAAACCACGAAGCAAGTCGTTGCCCTCATTCCCCACAGCCATT